CTTTCAGTTTAACGTAGGGCTGTTCTTGAGGAAGAGATATCAGTACAGTGGCGGATCCAGGGGGGGGGGGGGCCCTGGGGGCCCGGCCCCCCCCCCCCCTTGAGAACAAAATCATGTAAAATCACGTGATTTTTACCTTTTTGGGGGTTGGGCCCCCCCCCCCCCCCCCTGGCGCTCAAGGGGGGGGGGGGGTGCAAATTTTTTTTTTTTTTGAGGATAAAAAAAAAAAAATGTGCTCACCACCCCCCCCCCCCCCTCCCCCCCTCCCTCCCAGGATTTAGAATTCCTACATCAGAAAATGGTATCACTGCAACTGTTCGCTGTCCCTTCCAATGATTTCTCATCCATTGTTGAATGTGTAAAGAGTAGAACAAGCGAACACAAACTTGTGTACTTTCATCCTTTTTTAAACTTGAAAAATACAAAAAACACGCGAAAACACGCATTAGCAAACTTAATGTTATTGAAGATTAAAAATCATGGATCAAATAACGGGACATTAAAGCATGCACAAATTAGCGCATCATCCTAAAATATTGAGTTTTTGACAGGATGTAATTTTTCTTTTACCAACTCTGGCACACAAATTAAAGGAAGGACGGAGTTCTAAATTTGAAAATTTGTTTGATGCACTATTCCCAATAAAATCCCCAAATAAAGTTTTTGATTTACACTGAAATTTTGCCGGTAATTTAATATTTTGTAAAAAATGTAAAACTGGTGCCTGGCTTCCGAAATTCCCCGCAGTGGAAGCGCGGTTCGGAGCATGGAACTTCAAAGCCAAGTGGAATGTTACACATCCCATTGTTACGCTTTAGAACTCAAGAATGCGTTTGAATAAATTACAAGAGTTTCGCCTCCTTTTCTTTCACCTCCCTGATCATACTAGCCCATTTCCTTTCGTAGCTTCACTTGACCTTTCACTCAGATGGCGGCAATTTGAATTTGACCAATATGACCAGTATGACCAATATGACCAACCGGAGAATTGGTTCTTACCAGAGTGTTGGCTCAGTCAGTAGAGCGTCCGCCTCACAACCGGGAGGCCGTGGGTTCGAATCCCGGCCGCGTCATACCAAAAGACGTTAAAAGATGGGAGTTGTTGCTACCTTGTTTGGCGTTCAACAATAAGGGGATAGGGCAACGTCGATCTGGCGCTGCTCAGTGGCTGCCGGGCTCACGATCAATAATTAGGCCAAAAAAAAAAAAAATCCATTTCGGTTTAATAAAATTTGGAGTGGACTATTAGGCTATTATTATTATTATTATTATATTATCAGGTGGGCTGTATAACGTACAGACCACCTTATAATTTCGTTAGAATTGCCTTTATTATTTATTTATTTATTTATTATTCTTTATTTTTCTTATTTCTAACCACTTTTTTTGTGATCAAGATAACTTGGAAATGGCTTAAAATTGGGCACAAATATGTATAGGCATATGAAAAAAGGACAGAATTTTTTTCAACCTTGACCTTGACTGATGACGTCATCTAGGCGCCATTTTGTAGAATTTTACGAAAATCATATCATATCTTCATAAACAAAATGTATTTCTCATTCATATTTATCATGATCAAGGTCAATAACCGTAAGGTCGATGGCAGGTCAAATAACGCGCGCGTGCGCGTACGTCCGCGCGTCAATGCGCGCGTAAAATTTTGAAATGCTCAAAATCGTCTCAAAATCATTTTGCATACGTTTTAGGTCATTCTAAGCATTTTATAAAAAATCGCGCACAAGCGCATGCGTGCGCGTTTTCGCGCGTAAAACTATTACACAACATAGAATCGCCATTTTTTTTCTTTCATGATATGTCAGATCTTTTTACAAACAAATTGATACAATGTTTGTCTCTTTATGACTATTAATAACGGAATGATCGACCGTTTAGCATAAATTTCCGTGCGCGCGAGCTCTTGTAATACATAGCATATATGGACAAAAACATGCCTATACAAAATCCATTGTAGCTCTTTAGGATGCAAGGTGACCCCAATTCTTTTTTCATATTGTGATAGTATATAAATTGGAGATATGATTTCATGTCTCTTTTAACCCTCAATTTTCTTATGACGTCATCATAATGGCCTCCGAACTAATAATTTAAATTTGCATATTATGACGTCAGCATATTTTTGGAAAATTGATTGTATCTCTGGAAATATTGATGGACTGTTTTCCAAATTTTGATATGTTCTAGCTGAGATAATTTTTTACAAATGCTGTATCACAATTTTTTATTTTGACAAAAACAGCTTATTTTAGCGATTAAAGGAGGCATGTCAATTGTTCACCTTTTGCGTGTATTCTCTATAGGACATGATTTTTTCTCAAAACTGGATTCTACATTCCCGTCTTTCGCGAGCAATATCTCCGTCGTTTAATAGTTTCGTTTACGCTGAACTTCGAGTATGTTGTAGCTGAGACAAAAAGCTATTTCAAATGTATCCTTTATTTTGTCTCAATTTTTTGTTGGATCAGCCCACCTATACTTGTTCCAAACAAGTATTACAAATCTAGTTATTATTATTATGGCAGCCCCAATGAGACCTTAACTCGATGTAAGAACATCGTAATCAGATTCTCTGACCCCGAAAACCCCATAAATGTATAAACTGTTATCATACTAGCCCATTTCCTTTCGTAGCTACACTTGACCTGTAATTCAGATGGCGGCCATTTCGGATTTGACCAAAATGACAAGTATGACAGCCCCAAGGATATCTCAAATCGATCAAAGAACAATATATTAAGATTCTCTGACCCCCTAAACCCCATAAATATATGAATTTGTATGATAGTAGACCTTTTCCTTTTGAAACTACGCTTGACCTTCAACTCAGATGGCGGCCATTTTGGATTTGACCAATTTGGCTGTCACAGAGGGCGCCCTTCTTGGCGCCCGGCAGAATTCGTAATAGTATGGTATAAGCTACCTCTGGGCCAAATTTGGTGCTTTGAGAAGAATCTGCACCAAACGACCCCTATATAGCCCTAACAGCCCCGACTAATTGGCAATAGCTCTAGCTTACAGCCTTCTTGCACACAACATATGCATTACATCTCTGTCCACCCAAATGTATATCAAGTTAATTACTGTTATAGCATTAATGTTATGATTATGATTAATCCTTATTGTCTCGCAGATACGATTTATCGCCACAATGGTACAACAGCCCTTTGTGATTTGGGTGTACAACATTCAGATATTTCAAATGCCTATTACAGGTAAGTGGTCTTAGGGTACAGAAGGACACCTAAATAGACGAAATATCGAAATAAAACTTAAAACATACAGGAAGGGGGTGTGGCTTGTAGCTAAGAAAAGTGAAAAGGCATGGGGGAAAGGGGAGAGCCGATTAAGGAATACAAGACAACTATGTGGGAGCACGGTGGAATATTGGTGGAGGCTCGATTAGGGTGGACAGCATTAAGGTATTTCAAATGACTTTTGCAGGTAAGTAATCTTATTAAGTCTTATTAAGGACACATAATCAGACGAAATATCAAAATCAGATCAAAATGAAATATAAGAACATATTAGAGGGTGTGGCTTGTAGCTAAGAAGAGTGAAAAGGCATGGTGGAATGGGGAAGGAGTCGGAGGACTACGGAATACAAGACAACTATGTGTAAGCATTGGTTTAATATTCAGTCGGTGCTTTCATCCTATGAAAATTTGATTGTCTCTATCAACCCTTGTTCAAGGTGGGTGCCTGACAATAAAGCCGTTCATGATGTAAATATTAATGACATTGATTAACGAAAGAAAATACCGGAAATCTCTTATGACAAGTACAGCTTGGAAGGTTAAAAAACAAAACAATCTGCCCTGAATGTAATAGTATCGTCAACTTTAAAAAAAAAAGTTTGTATTTCATTCTGTTAAGACAAAACATCAGCTACCTCGCCACCACCTCAAACTATACATACTCTCACCTCTAGAAGCCCCGACTCCAAGGAAAGTCAATCGACCAATACTGCAGAAGGTACATCTTTTCGACGAGCATCATTATTAGATATGCCAGGCCTTCAACACCTTTACAGCTGGAAAATCTTTCCAGTCAACCCAAAAGAAGCAGATCGTCAAATTCAACAAACCTCTAGCTTACAGCCAGAAATCAACCAACCAGACTACACCAACCAGCACCGAGGACACCGTTATCAACCTCAGCAACCATCCACTCACGGAAACCGAACACAAAGTCCTATCATTATGTCTCAACTTCGCCGTGTCACCTAAGAAGATCCCGTTCTCAGAAGTCATTCAACAAGTAGAACCTAAACTGAGATTCCTGAGCCGAACCGCAGCGGACCAAATCCGTTTCCAAGTCACCCAAGCCCTATCCACAGCTAAGCCACCACAACCCAACAATAGCAAACCAGAACGAGCCGCTATCAGAGATCTACGCAGCAACCAGTCAATACACATTCTGCATGAAGACAAGGGCAACGCTACAGTAGTTCTGAACAAAGGGGACTACCACAATAAGATCGGTGCGCTCCTCGAGACTACGACTTACAAACAACTAAAGAAAAATCCCAAACTAGCAACGGAAAGGAAACTCAACCAGCGACTCCTCTCTCTTCACAGAACAGAAGTCATATCCGAGCCACTCTACTTCAAACTTCGCTCATCTTCAGCTACCTGCCCCACCTGTTTGGCCAGCCGAAGATACATAAACCTACCATTCCACTTCGCCCCATCATTTCAACCCGAGGCCTTGCTATGACACAGCCAAACACCTGACCACGATTCTCCAACCACTCATAGGACAATCGCAGCACCCCATCAATAACTCCAAGCATTTCGTCGATATCCTCTCCAAGACCACCATACACGATACAGACAACGGCACTCCAGACTCTCTCACAACGTCCTTCTCTCTGGCTCCGATATGTCGACGACACATTCGTCATCTGGCCACATAGCAGACGTGACTTAGACCACTTTCTTGCCCACATCAACCAGCATCACCCGAGCATCAAATTCACCATGGAGACCGAGCAAAACAACAGCATCCCCTTCCTAGACGTTCTCGTTACCAAATCACCATCCGGCAAGCCCGCTCATCAAGTCTACAGGAAACCCACACACACCGATAGATATCTTCACTACAGATCCTTACACCATCCATCCGTACTACAATCAGTCCCCAACGCCATCATCCGCCGAGCCCATAAACTCTGCGATGCAGACCATCTAGACCAGGAAATCCAGCATGTCACCACAGCCCTAACTAGCATCAACAAATACCCAAGACATAAGATCAAATCCAAGACTCCCGCCAGCAAGCCCGCAGCGAACACCACCCCTGAAGAGAACCCACCCGCATCTACTCCACCGAAGCAAACTGTTGTTCTTCCCTATATCGATCAAGCCTCTCACAAGATTCAACGTATCCTTCAAGCAGCAGACGTCCAAGTTCGAAACACTTCCTCCAACAAACTCCATTCGATACTCCACTCCCACAAAGACAAGCATCCAAAACACAAGAAAGCTGGAGTCTACAAAATACCATGCGAATGTGGAAAAGTCTACATTGGTGAAACGGGGAGAAATCTGGAAACAAGACTCAAGGAGTACAGAACCAGCTTCAGACTCAGCGATTGGGATAAGTCTGCCATCGTCAAACAGACAAACACGCCCAGCAACACGAACACACCATCGAATGGGATAACAGTCATCTCATCTCCATAATGAAGCACTGGCATGCGTACACGCCGAATCCGAGAAGCCATCGAAATTCACCGCCGCAACACCGTGCCCCGAGACTCAGGACTATACATCAACGACATCTGGAAACCCCTCATCAACAAGTACCCGGTCACTCCTCCTCCAGCACCGCCTCCAGCACCGCCCTCACCACCCCGACAGACAACCGTACATCAACCACCGCCACCCGCCGAACCCTCAAAGCAGCCGCCAGCCTCACAGCTACAATAGGGACTTTTAGATTGAGTGGACGAGAACACGAAGAACGCCGAGTGATCATGCGTATCAACGTACTCAACTGCCCATGTTGACTACAATTAGAAATCTTTTAGATTGCACTCGACAATATACATGCATGCAGGAAGTAACACTATGAACATAACGAACAAAGAAAGAGAACAAAATATATAGTTTCTTATTCTACCCTCAACAATAGGCCATTTTCGTAATGTAACCAAATTTAATGCATAAGTCTTTATGAAGTGCCTCAGTACAAAATAATTTCATTCACACGATAGGAATAATAGTATTTTAATAGTCAGAATGCTACTGCATATATTAAGTGTTGCTAGGCAGGTCAATCCACATTGTTTGTCCAACCTGACTACAACTAATGTATGCAGTTCAGATTCTGTCTATTGAAATACTATTATTCTTATCAGGTGAAGGAAATTTGTATTTGTATTGAGGCACTTCACAAAGACTTATGCATTAATTTGGTTACATTACGAAAATGGCCTATTGCTGTGGTAGACGAAAGAACATTCCTTCAACTGCTATTATGTAAACATGTGTAGAACAGGTGAATATGCATGTGACACCTGTTCTACACCTTTTTACATAATGGCAGGGAAGGGACGTTCCTTTGTCTACCCGAGGAACTGTATATTTTATGTGAACGCGGCATATACTAGTACCGTACTAGGGACTTTTAGATTTGCACGTCAACAGCTTTGACTGCAACGTGTGACGTCATTTTAAGGCACTGCGCATGTGTTACGTCGTCTCAGTCTGCGATCGAGAATGCGTCAACCTTGATTTTCCTAAATCTAGTACATACATACCTACATATTGATATTTATATAGCGCCTTTACATGCTCAAGGTACTAGTATGCCGCGTGCGCATAAAATATACAGTTCCTCAGGTAGACAAAGGAACATCCCTTCCCTGCTATTATGTAAACATAAAATGTGTAGAACAGGTGTCACATGCATATTCACCTGTTCTACACATTTTTACATAATTGCAGTGAAGGGATGTTCTTTTGTTGAGGGTAGAATGAGGAACTGTATATTTTGTCCTCTTTCTTTGTCCGTGATGTTCATAGTGTTACTTCCTGCATGCATGTATATCGTCGAGTGCAATCTAAAAGATTTATAATTGTAGTCAACATGGGCAGTTAAGTACGTTGACACGCATGATCAGTCGACGTTCGTCGTGTTCTCGTCCACTCAATCTAAAAGTCCCTATTCTCCACTCCTGACGACGGATAGTCAACCTGTTCGAAACGTCGAGCCACTCATCCTCTCCAAGCGCTACAGTTCTCCTTAGAACTATATGCTAAGAAAGATAACACACAGTCCTTTTCACGACTACACTCCCCAAAGAAAGATTACCGAGTCAGAGTCCTTTTTAGGACTCCTCAAACCTATCTCTCTCTCTCTCTCACACATGGTGCACTCGCAAACCTACTGTATAATAATCTCTTCTTTAACTATTCTCAAAATCGTGACCAGTTTGATTTAATTAAACCCCTATTAGAATGCCTTTGATGTGATTGGATGCATTCAATATATAAGTGAATACAAAATACCCTTTGTTTTCCTGAAAGCAAGTTATGCCCTTTTATATGACAAGCAAATGTCTGGCATTAATTGTTAGCATGTTTAAAAGTGGTTTACAGACTGAAAATGCTTGGATGGGATTTTAGAGAGTGAAAAGCAAACTGAACACTTTTTTGAAAAATAGGGGGGGGGGTGGTCGGGTTTTAAAAAAAATTCAAACTGGCAAGAGTGAATATTGGATGCAGTACATATTTAAACATAGCGTAGCCTGCGATCGGTAGCGTTCGCCCCACTTTGGATTTAGAACAAGTAGCAGTAGATAATTCATCGCTCCGCAGTCTTGACTTTATTTAAGTTTCTGAGTTTTAATTTTGAAGTTTATCATCCAAACAAAAAGTACATCAATATAACAATAACAAATGAATGTTTAACATTGAACGGATTAATGGGACCAGAAAATAGAAAAATTTAACTCTAATCATGTCTGGTACCACTAACCCACACACGTTTTACAGCAATGAATAAAAATGTAATGAAATTTTAAACAGAGCATCAAATACACCTGATATCAATAGGAACCCTGTCTGACAATGAAAAGTAACAAAATGGAGCTCTTTTCCAAAGCAGGCGGATCTTTCTTTAGCACTAGCTATTTCTGTATCGGGGTATGCAGGTGAGATGTAAGCCCTTATAAGAATGTCTTTTATTTTCATTAAAGAAGGTGGGGGCTGCTTTCGATAAACTTGGATGTAGAAGACCCTTTGTATATATTTGTGCAAGTTAAGGACTTGTATACATGTATATGTCAAGTAAAACTCTGCCCATTAGGATTTGCATGTTGAAAAGTTGTTATAGACTGGAGCAAAATAGGATTGAATTGTAGAGAGTGAATGGGACAATTACACATTTGCTTACTCCCGGGTACCTAGGTAACACCTGGGTGGAGAGAAGCTATGATGATAAAATGCCTAGCTCATAGACATAAATGCCGTGCTGTGGCTCGAAAACACGTAGACCTCTTTTGGCGTGTGTGAAATATTCAGATGACCTCTATTTTAGTATCCACCATAATCATTTTAGATAGCGTTATACCATCCCAGGTTTTTATCTTTCAGTATTCTTTTTTATTATTAAAAGTCAAGATGTAGATAGTCTAATATTAATCGGCGCACTGACTGTTCCTCTTTATCTCTGAACCGTTTTCAGCTTCCACACCTTCCCCTATGAGACGAGGTATGCCATGGCTTATTCCTGTGATTGCTTCTGTTGTTGTCTTGCCACTCATCATCATGGCTGCTCTGGTACTGCTGTATTGCCACCGGCGAAGGTAAGAACATTAACCAAAACATCAATCATTTCTCTTGAAACAAAAAGCTGTCATAAAAGAATATACTCCTTTTTTTCGAAAATATGTACTCTTTTCTACTGTTACTCTAAATAGATTTTTATACCCAGACTTACAATAATTGTAGATGTATAAGTCCTCAGATTTTATTATGGAACAAATAAATAACGTTTGATATTTCTTTATTTTTTTTTATTTTAGGAGGGCCTCTATTTTCATGACAAAATTGTTACGTTTGAGAAAGGGCAGGGCTTATAATTAATCAATTACACATAGACAAAGGTAATCTTTTTTAATGCGTAATCAAACCAGGCTTAAACATTTAAAGAAAAATATATAAAAGGGGCTCACTACAATGTATACTATTATAATACATACGCTACGCGGCAGATCGCCTAAAAAGATAGGTTCTGACAAAATCAAAAGGTGGATTCTAGGACTCCTACCCACTAGGACTACTACCCCGGACAACTACTCACCGGACAACTACCCACCGGAAAACTACCCCCAGACAACTACCTCCGACGACATCCATCCTCTAGGACAACTACTCCCCAGACAACTATCCTAGGGGGTAGTTGTCTGGGGGTAGTTGTCCGGGGTAGTTGCCCTAGGGGTAGTTGTCCTGGGGGTAGTCGTCCTAGAGGGCGGCTCCACTATGTGGTAGTTTTCCTAGGGGGAAGTTGACTGGGGGTGGTTATCCGGGGGTGGACGTCCAGGGGGTAGATGTCCTGAGTACGCAATAGGTGCTTTGCCATGCTACGCGGCTGATCACCTATTACTAGTGGGGTATAAAATACATCGACGATGTCTCGAAACACTCTACAGATGTGATATTTCCGCGATATTGGGATTCAGGCTTGCCTGCCCACAATGTTTCCACCCTTTTCTCTCCCTAGGGAGCATTTCAGACAAGCGCTTTTTTAATGCTGAGCACTGAAACTACGATGACTTTTGCATCCTCCCGGGTAACACATGGGAAGAGAGTGGTGAATGTGGATTAATATGAATTTATTCACGTGATTTTGTTTATGAAACAGACGCAAAGTACCAGCCAAGACCGAAGCGAACGGACCAGATCCTTACATGGACCTACAACCCAGACCCGAGGAAGACAGGACATACCAGGAGATGGCTATCACCTCAACGGCTTCGTCATCAAACCTGATTTATGAGAACCAGAATGTTGAGCAGTTTACAAACAAAATAAAAGAAGGTTCTGATTACGAGGATTTTTTTTTCTTCCAAATTAAGACAATTGGAAGCTTCATAAAAACACACTTGGCTTTTTCAGCAATTTTCCATCTCTTGATTTTAATTTACAAAGTACAACATCAAAGGATTAATTCGTTTAATATTTTGCGAAATCAATAACAAATCTTAAATAATGTCTTGATTAAAGGATACTAAACATTGGCAAAAGTAACTAAAAAATGTTTTAATTTTACACAAAGAGTTGTGAAAAAACATGATAATTAGTTCATTGTATTAAAAAGATACAAGTCTACTCTTTGTACTATGAATGTACTGTTTTGAAAGGAATATTGTAATCAATTGAGATTCAAATAAGATTGTGTCTACCTTGTCGCAGGACCTTTACCTAGTTACAAGTAATCAGAAGTTATTGTATGAAATATGGTATATATAGTGCTATCCACTTTCCTACATGTAGTAGCGTGGTGTATGTGTGTGTGAGGGAGGGGGGAGCAATCTTACCGGGGGGGGGGGGGTTATAGGGTACTTGTCATCGTCCGAGGGGCGGGGTAGTTGTCGGAAGTATAAATTTGTCCTACAGTTGGTGACCGGGGGCAGGTGTCAAGCTGTGATTATCCTTGCACATAGACTTAATTAGAA